CCACCACTGGTTGTGTAGCAGGCTGTGACTTCCCAATTTAGAGAAGTCACTGAATGTTTGGTCATAAGTCAAGGACTACCTGTATATCAAACTGGTCTTTCTGAAATTCATCTTGTTTGTGAATCACAGACCACAATCCACCAGAGAAATAGGTGTGCTTCTCAACTGTATGTTTATCAAACATACACCCCACCTTCTTAGACAAAAAGGAGACTGGTAATTCACAATAAAAACTTCAAGATGCCAAAAAAGATCTGGTTTTCCTATGACAGTGATGGCGAACCTTTTTCCCCCCGGGTGCCAAAAGCACACACACAAGCTAGCACACCTGCTTGTGTGCCCACCCCCATAATTTAGTACCCCCCTGCGCCATGCCCCCTGAGCATGCATGTGTGGAACCCCGCCCCATTGCCTTGGGCATGGCTTTCTTGGAGTCTGGGAGGGAGAAAACAGGCTCCCCCCCAGAGACCAGATATGACCCATTTTCAGACTTCTGATGGGCCCGGTAGATCCGTTTTTCACCCTCCTCAGGCTCCAGAGGCTTTGTAGGAGCCTGGGGAGAGCAAAAATGGCCAAAACGTATGTGCACTGGAGCTGACAGAAATGTCACTTGTGGCATATGTGCCATAGGTTCACCATCACGTCCCTATGAGATTCCGACTCCCACAGTTGAATCACACAGAGAAAACAAAAGCTCATTAAAACCTCACAAAACACTGATGCTCATGTACAAATCAGGTGAAACAATATTCACTTTTGTGATGTTCAGTTGTCTTATGGAAAAAAAGCACCTTTTGACAATATTCACTTATAGAATCTTTAGTCAGAGAACGATATCAAAATATCCCCTTTGAACAGAGACTGGGTTCATCCATGAAGAGATAACGGAAATGATGAAATATATTATTTCATATTGTTCTCTCTATAATGCATGCTCACCAACAGTGGTGGGTTTCAAAATTTTTTAGAACCTCTTCTGTAGGTGTGACCTGCTTTGTGGGAGTGGCTTGCTGGCCATGTGACCGGCAGGGCATAGCTTGCCAGCCACATGACCAGGTGGGCATGGCCAACTTGTAAAATGTTGTGAAACTCACTCAATAACGCTCTTGCTTAGCAACCAAAATGTTGGCTCAGAAACTCTGGCATTTGAAGCACGCAAGTCTTAAAGCTGTCAAGTTACAAGACCCTTGCACCCCTAACCCTTTAGAAAAAAAACCTAGGGGTGTTCAAACTTGACAGCTTTAAGACTTGTGGACTTCAACTCCCAGAATTCCTCCTCTCCCTATTCATCTTGATGATGTGCAGACGGGTAGGGGGAGGGAGATGGAACCGGTTCTAAACGGCACTGTAGATTTGTGGAACCTCTTCTTTAGAAGAGGTTAGAACTGGCAGGAACCCACCCGTGCTCACCTTGCATTATTATGTCTATTCTTCATTAAACATCCTGACTCATTCTATCTTATGTTATTACTATCTGATCAATCTGATTTCATTTTGTTATTCACAGCTAAGTATTGCTCTATAAATTGTACAGTACACCTTAGTACCTCTTCCAATCTTTCTTAAATATTTTAGAAGGTTGTGTATTTTTCTTTTTATCTTAATTAACTGTGATTTTTTGTTTTATTTGCTATTCTGTTACTGAATAAAAATTGATTGATTGATTGATTCTTATTTCTTTCCTAGTTCTTTCTTGTTCAAGATTTTGATCTTCTTATCTTGTGTGACTCCCAAGATTTATTTCAATTTTATCCTCTTGAATTGACTTGATTATATAATGTCTTATTCTGCTACAGTGTAGCAATATACCTATGACATGTATATGTATGTATAATATTGTATATGCAAAGTGTATTTCTAATTTTAGTTATGAATACATATACATGTTCTTATTGGGAAGTTGGCTGCCTTGTTATTTATCCACTGGACACTGAATTATATTTTGCAGCTCAAAACACCCAACTTTTGCTTTTCTTCCTTACATTTCCACTTTAAAAATGGTATTTCTGTTATCAATAGGACATACAATCTATCCAGATTAAATTTTCTTTTTCCAGCTTCTTTTACCATTTTCAAGTAAAATAAAACCAAACAATCTAAATTTCCTATTTCCACTCCATCACATATGCTGTACCCAAGATATACTTTTGTTTAACTGATTTACTATTATCAGTTGCAAGAATTTGTTTACGAGTACAAATTTGTTCTATTTATTTTTGGTCCATCAACTAAATACTATTGTTCAGTTATTTACTGGACTATCCAAGCTAGATCAGTGAAGTTATAAAGGATTCTAATTTAAGGCATGTGATTGTACTATAATAGGCATGGTCCTTCTAGAGCAATCTAATTCGGAGATTCCATCCAATCTTCCAGTCCTAAAAATAAAATAATAAAATAATAAAATAATAAAATAATAAAATAATAAAATAATAAAGTAAT